AATTATTATAAACGTATATACCGTATTTTCGCGGAATAACGCTCATGAGCGTTATTTCGAAAATTGCGCCCCTAAAAATAACATATATAGCGCGTCCAGAAATAACGCGCATCTTATAGTAAGGGGTGCTTATTTACAACAAATGCTCCAGAACTAGATTCGCTTAGTATCAACCTAGCTCCGGAACATTTTTTGTTTTAGACAAGATGCTTAAAATTTTTACATTTGTCTCAAAATAACGTCCATGCGCGTACTCCAAATAACGCGCATATACTCAAAATAACATTATAATAGATTAAATCAAATAAAACCTAAGAATATATAATATTCGTTTTAATAAAGATTGTTAATAAAGTTTTTGAGATACTAGTTTGCAGCAAATATAATATAGATAGCTCAGATAAATAAAAATCCACTTGTTACTATAATAGTTAAAACCAGATCCACTTTTCCAATTACATAAAATCTCCAATTTGTATTATTTTTATTAACTGAATTTTCCTTAAGATCATTAATTTCAAATTGAAAACATTTTTAGATTGCAAAGCTTGACCCTTGAATGCTAAGGCTTTTAAAGTTGCATATGTTTGAACCGATGAGTTATCGGTGGTTAAATTTTCATATGTGTGATTGTTTTGAAATATAATTTTTTTGATTAACGTGAATATCAACTTCCTTAGAATCAGCCAAAAATTGTTGGATCCCATTCGAATTTTCCATAATCAGACATTTAGGCTGTTGAATTGTTATAGGTAAAAATAGATTCAGAAATTTTAGAATTTTGGTAAATGTAAGGAAAGTTGTTGAATTCAAGAGAATATTTATCTGAAATGGTTTAAGCGTTATTCCATTTTTGTTTATTGTTGTAGTGTTTCTTAATTAATAACGTTAAGAGGAATTATGAGGTAATCAATTAAATGACACATGGTAATGATAATAACACTTAAAAACGATGAATTTTTTAAAATATACGTACCTAGTAGCATAAGCAGAAATTGTAGCATTAAAAACATTACTTCCTGGAAGATCGCGAGCGATCAAAGTAGTTTCAATTCCCTTTAATCCTCAGTTTTTTTAATAATACTCCACAATAAATCTTTTCCGATAAAACTATATAAGCTTTTACTATTTTTAATTCCTATCGTATAATATCCTACAATTGTTATTGTGAAATCAAATGCAGCTTTTGCGTCATCTTGAGATTTAAATACATTAGTCTTAAAAAATGGTACATGATTTGTGGTAAAGTAAATTTATATGCTAATGCAAAGTTGGATTTAAAGAGGCAGAAGTTAGAAATTGATGTGGAAGAAGTTATGCTACTGATAGGTTTCGTGAAGATTGAGAATAAATACAAGAAGGGAGAGTAAGAAATATTGCTACGATAAAAATTCGTCGAAATACACGTAAAATCATCCTAGTATTATAATAGTTAGGATCCATCTGCTTATATATCCAATATATTCTTTTTGCCAACAAATATATTCTTTGTAAAGTAACCCAAAAAATACAGATTGGTTTGACACTTGTAGCAGATAATTTATCGCGTGGTACATATAAATGTAACGTATTATTATTACGTGTCTATTTTACATAATAGTATGGTTTTACCAAGAACGTCAAATCGATTAAATCCTTTTGCTGTCAAAAACAATTAAGTTGATATAACTCATATAGCAAAAGTTTACAAGCAAAATGGATTACAATTCTCACTCTTTATAGTGAAGTTAATACCTCATATTGAGAGAATATCGTATGTACTTCACTACATCGAGAGTTCACTATAGCGAGAATGAGTTGTTTGTATTAGATAGCCTTATTTATAACTAACTTTAGAGTTCCTTTGTTTCATTATTGATTATGAACGAATGCAAGACAAGTTGAACATAAAAGGGTTTTCAAATCATGAAATTTAGTCGTGACTGATCGGTACTTAGCCCAACAAAAATAATACTCAAAATTTTGCTAGTGTTATTTATTTACTATATAGAATATTTCCACGTGTGAACAAGCGAATCCCTGGATTAAGAACATTTAATAATTTCTTTCGGTTAAAATTTCAAAAAAAAATTAATACATCAAACATTTTTATTATGGCTGTTTCAAAAAGTATTCCAAATCAATTATAAAAAAAAAAAAAAAAAAAATGAATGAATTACCCTCATAAAATAAACAAATTATTGGGGTCTTGATACCCATTTTCTTAATTTATTTGCAGTATATTTACTACTCTTGATAACTCCAGCTGTTAATATACCTTTAATGCTTTGAACAACTGCAGGTCGAAAAATTGTTCTACGCAATCCTGTAATAATCATGATTCATTTTAAATGAGAATTCACAAACGATGTAAATAAAAATCGATATTTTTTTTTATAATAACTGTTTACCAGTTTTAACATATGTCACACATTCATCTGAGGATGCTATATCCCTGTAAACTTCCTTATCATCTTTTCACCAAAATAGAAATAAAAAAAAAATTATTGTATTATTGTAACGTATTTGGATAACGTTAAAGTTATTAAATATTTCACTTACCTGATGGTAAAGTTTGTCCTTTTCTAACCAAATGCAATCCGTATTGTTCTCGGATTTTATTTCTCAATGCTCTTGGTAACTTTTCCAACAAATGAGCACGAGCCTTGGGATTATCGTCTTGCTATTTTATAACGAGAAACTTCTGTATTGTTACCTTTTCGATAAAAGCATAAAATTATCACCAATCTTTGATTTTATGTATGGTAACATGTAGCAATCGGCTATACCTGAAGTTTGCTGTTGCCTACAAATGCAACATTTGAAAACCCTTGAATCAATGCTCCATATAATATCTTAAAAGTATCTGCCTGTCTTGAAACTATATTTTTTATTTTATGTGGATTCTCTCCAACATATTTACGAAAGTCACCTGTAAGAAAAATAAAATATATATAAATATTAATAGGAATATAAAACTATTATAAAATAACTCATGAAAATAACCTTCATAAGAAAGTCCCGTAATTGTTAAGTAAAGTTGCTCCTCCGAGAAATCTTTTGGAAGCATAAGCAAAGCCGTTCTCAAGGCGTTTGCCAGATTTACTTGTTGCGATAAACGAACACGTGCATCGTCTTGTAATATTTTTATCTAACGATAATTCATTTTACATAAATTTTTGTTTACTTAGAATTAAATATAAATTTTACATTAAAAATCATGCATAAAATCATAATTATAATTACAGGTTTGTGCATCCTTCCTGCAACATAAAGTGTTTCCCAATCCATGAGATCCTTGCATAACTTATCAACTGAAATTACTCCATATTTAATTTCCTATACATTGGAAAAGACGATAAGAAATTAAAAAATTTATAAAATTTTTTGAGAATCAAAGTAATAAAAATCTCCATTAATTATTATTATTATTATTATTATTATTATTATCATTATTATTATTATTATTATTTCTTTGCTACATACCATTCCATTCATTTTCACCTGTGGATTAAAATAAATGCCGGCTCCAAAATCATTTTGCAAAATTGATACAGCTCGGCTACCAAGTGTTCCCATGAAAGAATAATGATTTCTATGCTTATTTAAATTTAAAGAATGCCAATGTTGAGAATGACTAACGGCAAAAATAAAATCCACCATCGGTTTGGGCTATTAAAAAAAGGTACAAACAAATACATTTTCTTTGATGAATATATAAAAAATTAATATATTTAAAAATTTTTTTTTATTCAAATGTATTTACGTTTAGATTATACCTCTAATTCGTAACCTTTTTGTGGAAATACACCACTACCATATGCAAAAGAATATCTTATAGGTGCATTGAAATTAAATAATATTTTCCTTAAACTTTCTTTAAATTCATCATCAATAGGTAAATGTTGATTTTTTCCGAAATTTGGTGAAAGACGGAACGAATTTTCGGCTTTATTTTGATTTTGTGAAGTTTCATATGGTGTATTTTTTGCCGACTCAGGGGATGTGGGACGGGTAAGAGTAGCTGCTTTAGGCATAGTAGTAGATAAAAATCTAACCGAGGAGATGCTTATAAATTTGGATGATTGATGGATTAACATCTTAGTGAATTTTAAGCAGAAAGAATTAATTTCCCAATTTTTGTAACGTTAATAAGGGTTATATAAGTTTTACACTTGATTGCGCAGCACACAGTTCATAGGAGGAAATTCGTTTGATTGGCTGATGTAGATCAATTGCCCGGGTAACTCTCAAGTGTTACCGATTAAGACCATATAGGATAACTTTCTTCTGATTGGTCAATCGCTTTCAATTGTATTTATACAGTTTAAAGTACTTTTTAAG